AGATATCTTTTGCATATCTATCATATTACTTTTTATATTCTACTTCATTTTACTTTTATTTTTCTCATTATTTAGATGGTTCATTTTTCACTTTAACAATATTAATATATTGCAAGTATACAACAAGAAAACAGGCATTTAAAAGTTGCTTAATTTTTTGTTTTGTTATATGGTTCAGATGGATAATCTTGTTTTTGATCTTGTAATTGTTTTAAAAATGTTTTTCTAGTTTCTTATACTTTTTTTAATAGTTGCTCTAAAGGTTTTTGATCTTGAAAAAAGATCTGAAAAATTGTTTGTCTCTTGCCTTTATTTTTATAAAGATAGCAAAATGAAACTTTTGTCTAGTACTGTCTTTAGGTATTTTGTGGATATTAAGAATAAAATTGATTATTTCTTATAGTTTGCTTTTTATTGATAATAGTTTAGTGGCTCATTGAACTATTTGATAGTAATCATATATGTCTTCTAATAATAAGGAGTCTTGTAGGTCTGTCTTATTGTTACTATTATTATTACAGTTAAGAAAATTATATCTCTTAATATCCAATAACTTTATTGCCAGGTTGTTCTCATATTCATTGAGTTTTATACTGGCTTGTTTTTTTTAGTTTTAAAGATAATCCTTCTGTTAGGTTTAAAATCTTGTTTATTAAAGTTATGAATATCTAGAAAATTGATGGAGTTGCAAGTATAAGAACTTTGTGTGATAGGAGATGTGAACCTGATGGAAGAGAGAAAAGACTTATCTAGATTTTGTAAGTTAAAAATATTTGAGGAATTAATTGAAATGGATAAAATATTGTTTTTGGTTTCTGAAAAAAGAAATGTATTGGAGAAGACTCTTATGTCTAAATCACTAGAAATGAAAAAATCCAAATCAATTGATATGGATGAATTATAGTTGATAATTAAATTTAAATATACTAGATTTTGATTGGAGGAGAGTAGTACAGTGTTTAATTGGATATAATGATCAATTGGTTTGTGATTGGTTAGGTAAAGAATTGAAAGTTATGATGAAATCATTGAATAAAGAAGTAAATAAAGTTTTTAAATATTCAACTAGGCTGATTTAATATTTTGTGTTTAAGAAAAATATTTTTTTCCTTTCACTTGTTTTTTTGTCAATGATTATATTTCAGGAAATATGTTTGAAATAGTTTCAGTCTTTATTAATAACATAATTAAGAATTTCTTTTTTAAGAGTTTTATTGTTTGTAAAAATAATTTGAAGAGAATTTTGATAATTTAAAAATTTATTTAACTGATCACATAGTTTGTCTTTGAAAAAAAAAAATTAATTAAGTAGACTGTTTTAGTTCTTAATTGTAAATTCCACTTGTATTATAAAGAGATTTGGTAAGCTTGTATGGATAATATTTTAAGTAATAATAAGCCATTTTGAAGGATAATTGATTAAAAGAAAAGTAGTAATAGATGTGAAAGGTTTTGTGCACTAGTTGAAATCTGATTATTCAATAGTATGCCACTTGTCAATTATTCGATATATGATAAATAATTCATCAAGCATTTATCAAACATTCAGCAATAATTTGGCATATTCAATTTGACAATAATTGCTAAATTGTTAATGAATGCTTGACAAATTATTTATTATATGTTGAATAATTAATGAGTAGCATACTGCTGAATAATTAGATTTCAACTAGTGGTGATAATGATTTCTTTGTTTTGGTTCAAATAAATAATTGCAAATTGATGTTTTTTCCTTTCAATAAGAATAATATCTAGCAAAAGAGATTTATTGATTTGATGATATGATGAAGAGAATAGAATAGAATTAGACTTAGCAATGGAATCTCGCAGTACAATAGAAGTGGTGGACCATATAAATAATGCATGAGAAATAGTGTCCAATCGTATATTTACACTAAAAGTAGCTGAAGGATATGGCTGGGATATTGCATCTGTCTTACCTGATATGCAAAATGATTGGATAAAGGGGAAGGATTTGTTAATTGAAAAAGCAAAGACATTAGTGGAAGTAAAGAAGATGAAGTGACAAAAAACATATGAACTATCAAAAACAAACAATCATATCCATTGGGGAAGCAATTATCGAGATTCAGAAAAGTTTTTTCGAGCCAACCAGAGAAGCAAAAACAATAATCCAAATTCCGGCAAGTGCTATATCTGTGAAAGATATGGACATTATGCGAGTGAATACCCATCAGACCCAAACAAAGACAATTATAAGTACTGAACCTATCATTCATGAGAATATACTTTTTACAAGAGCAAATATGATAGAAGCTACAACAATGGAGACAATGAGAACAGAAAGCATGATTGACTACACTCGGGCACAATATCACATACCAGTAACTGGATGCTTGCACATGAAACAACACGTAAATTACTGGAAGACGAAAATACAAGTATCAGAACTAATAGTAAACTGGTTGGAAAATGGCATTTCCTTATTTTCAAAAGGGCTATTAGTACTGGCAATAGCTTTTTGTTAACTTGAAAAGTCTATTGATATGTGGATATATTGTTATCTGCTAATATGTAGTTACTTATTAACATATTATTGCTTATTGATATATTGTTACTTATTGACATGTTATTGCTTATTAACATGTAGTGATTATTTTGATGTTTACTTGAATAAATAATTTTTGTATTATCCAGATTTGGAGAGGATAAACTGATTTTGATTTTTTAAGATTTCAATATATAGAATAAGAATTTTTCAACTCTGTAAAGTTAATAGAAAGTCTTGACATTTTTTTAACTAAAGGAAAATGACAAGGTTGTTTGATTTATTGAATGGAATCTGATCTTTCTTAAATTACTACAGTATTTAGAGAAGTGTTTAACCTGATACACAACTGGTTGTAATGATGATAGTAAATATTGGCTTCTTAAGATCTTATTGTAAATCAGAAAGTGTATTTTCTTATTTCTCTCTTGAGAGATAAATTTATTTAAAGGTCTTCTATTGGAAAGTATAAATATTTAGAGTGTGAAGTAAAAAATATTAATTATTTATTCTTAATATTTACCTAATATTATTCTCTTGTATATTTCTTAAATAATTATGTAAATAAATTTTTTGTTTTTAATTTTTTGGAAGTTTTCTAAAAAGAAAATTAGACATGAAGTAAAAAAAAGTTCTTGATTTTTAATAATTATTATCTTGTTTTATAATATTTCAAATTTTGTAATATTTAAATTTTTATTTGATTATATATATATAGTATTATAAAATTCTTTAAAAAAAAATTAAAAATTTTATTAAAAAATAAATTTATTAACCAAATATCTATTTTTTTTATCAAAACAAAATATTATATAAACAATATTATAAATTGCTTTTATATTTATTATATTATATATTTCAGTTAATTAAATATATACATATTCATATTTATATGATATTTTTTCAGATATAATATTATATTATTATATTAATACTAATTTTAATAGATCTTTATAAAGTACTCTATCAATTTGCAAAATTATTAAAACCTAATAAAAAATATTTATAAATATATAACATATTTTACAATTTCATAAATAATTATCAATTATTACTTGTGTATAACATAATCTTTTACTTGTTATATAATCAAATAATTCTTTGGAATTTATTACAATTGCTATATTACTAAACCATAATTTGTTGTAATACTTATTTTTTATACATATTATTGCTCTATTTTCTAAAATTACAAATTCAAATATTGTTAATAAAAAATTATCTATAAATAAACTTAATAATTCCAAATATGTTTTTAAACCTTTTTTAAGATTTTCAAAACTGCTTTTCAATTTTCTATCTATTTCTAAATTATTTTGAAGAATTTTACAAATTGATTTAAAATTCTAAAGATTGTTTGAAAATTTATATACTTGCAAAATCTTTGTTTGCTTTTTAGATTATAATAAATTTTTATTTATTATTGTATTTTTTTATATCTATTAATATAAAAATTTATATATTAGTTAAAAGTTTTAAATATAAATAACATATATTACTTATTGTTTGTATTAATTGAATTTCAATATTTTTTTTATTACTTAATCAATATGATTATTTAATAAAAGTTTTATAGAGACTTTCAAAAGTTTTTAAAGTACAGTATGGGACAAAAAAAATAGCACTTTTTATTTTTGTTATTATTTAATAAATATTTATTTAAATTAAATAAAAA